TTTCATTTTCCGTTGGGCTCAGCAAGTTTTTGGCTAAATTATAACCAAGTGTTTACGACACTATGTAAGTGTATGACGAAAACAACAGACACCGCTTTATATTTGTCTATCGACAATAATTTATAGTTGCATATTTTTGTGCACAATAATACTGCGAACAGATAAGGATTGAGAAAGGCAGATATTCTTGAGCTGTGAAGATGAATAAAACAAAATTGTCAAACAAAGCACACAGAAAGAAAGAGGAACATTTTAGTATTGCCCCATAAAATTTAATGATGCCGAGTGATTTTTTTTCTTCTAACTAGTGAATTGACGTTTGGTTCGAATTTATACGATGTTTGGTGCTGAATCTAAAAATTATTAAACGATTGCAGTCAGCGATATCAACAGTAATCATCAAATGGATTGTTACTTTGTATGTTGGAATAAGTAAACAACTGCCTCATTTTACTTCAATGGGTTTGTTTTTCTGTTACATTTTTTTTTCTTCATTTGATTCCGTGTACCTTCCTTGTCTTCTTTTCATACTGGATTTGGAATTGTGACCTCACACAAATGCGTGCGCACACACACTACACAAATATAGCAGCCAAAATAGACGCAATTGTATGAATGAAATATTCGTGCTGTGCCAATGGACTTGAACGCGTAGATATTTTTTTTTGCGTCGATCTTGTTTGACTTTTTATCTATTTATATATGCGGATAATCATGAAATTGTTCAAGTTTTCAATAATTCCAAGTTTGTTTGATGTTCGATTTGTTGTAACTTTTTCGCGTTGGTTGATGTGTTTTTCGCTTTTGCGAATGCTGAACTTTTTTTTCTTGTATATTTCGGTGTGTTCGATATGTATATTTGTCTGAAATGTTTATGTTGTGTGTAACTATTGGTGGCACCTAAGAGCAACTCATCAAACCCAAACTGAAATGAAGGCAAATAGAGTCTCTCTCTCTCTCTCGCTCTCTCTCTCTCTCTCTCTCTCTCTCTCTCTCTCTCCCTTTTGGCTTAAGCAAACAATTTACTTGTTGGCTTATTTGTGATAATTCACACTTGATGGCTATCATTAATAAAACATTTGAATTCATATACGAAGAGGAGCTTTCTTTTGTTGGTACAAAGGGAAATATCTGTATGCGAATGAGAGTGAATCGGTCGCTTGAAGTAAATGAAATGTTTGGCGCTAATATGTGTGAGCAAATGTACATATCTCTGAAGGCCAGAGGTGAGTACATCTATATTTTTTTGTGATGTACGCTCGATATGTGAAGTAAAGTGAATAATATATTGGTATTATGTGTGTGTGTGTGTGTGTGTGTGTGTGTGTGTGTGTGTGTGTGTGT